GTGGCTGCGTTGTTAAATGTATTTGTGGGTAGTTAGACCTTCAAGCCAGACGCCGAGGCCGGCGGCCATTCACTGCTTTATGATGTTTAAAAAACAATATATATACTCATCGACATTTTGTCTGATGAACTAGACACCTCTGACTTTCAATTTACATACTAAGCCGATTACTCTACGACGCTATGCAGTTTCAGGCGATGAGTCACAATAACGTGGCTAAAGTATGTTGACCAGACCACACACTAGAAGGTGAAGGGACGACGACGACGTTTCGGTCCGACCTGGACCATTCTCAAGTCGATTGAGAATGGTCCAGGACGGACCGAAACGTCGTCGTCCCTTCACCTTCTAGTGTGTAGTCTGGTCAAGACGCTATGCAGTTTCTTGGTGGCGGAAACTGTTCAATACTACAACTCACAGGGAAGCTCTGTTCTCTCCCTGTTTCTTGATGCTTCCGAAGCATTTGATAAGGTTGAACACACCCACTGTTTAGAGAATTGCTTAGCAGGAAAGTATGTCTTGTAATCGCAAGTTACCTATATATTTCTTATGCAATTTCTTATACTGTACAGTATTGTGAAATTGAGTTGTCTTCGGAAATTTTCTTGCTAAAAATTAGGTCAAACGAGGTGCTGTTTTACTTTATTATTTGCTGTCTATATTAATCCATTCTTCAAAGTGTTAAGGGCAAGTAGAGCTGACTGTCGCATATATCGCGGTTTTCTAATATACTGATAATCTATATTGACACCAACCAAAGATGTGGAAAAAAATATAGAAATGTATGAAGTATATAGTGCTGAATACAACCTCACAATCAGTTCTGGAAAATATGCTGTAGTTTCTTTTAACTCACTGAAGTAGTTTTATCGAAATCTTAAACAAGCATTATTAGGCAGAGATTCCAGCAAGGGATTCTGAAAAGTATATGGGGCTTATTATACTATCGAAAGACCCAAACCATGGGCAGGGAGTGTTGTCTGGGCACCATTCCTAAACTTTTCACTGTTCACCCAGCCATTAATGAAAACAGGGTTGTAAACAGATTGGTGGGTCGCGTTCCATGGAAAACTGCCAAGGTAAGGCTTAGGAATAACTGTGGGAAAGGAAAGGACAAAAAAACCCTGCTTTCAGGAAGGAACCTACTCCTATACCCACTTGCGAAAAAAAACACTAAAACCCGTTTCTGTGGCTGGTGCGAGGATGGTGCTTCTTTTGTTGACACAATTATGGCTGCTCCTGCACTGTCCATTGTGTGTTGGTGCTGTGTGACAATGTGTGGTCGTCTAGACACACATTAAGATGTCTGTCTTACTGTCAGTTGACAGTAAGTCATAACGCACAATTATGTCATACTGTCTGCCACATCGCCACGGGACCCACCGTCAACAATCTCTGCTTGTGTCGACAGTATTTACATGTATGTATGTATGAGTATGTGTACGAGTATATATATTAATTAATAATTGTGTAACTAGCGTCAAAAGATTGTTATTTGCTTAGCTAAATGAACTAGGAGGGTTCAGTTCCTGAACCAAATATGTGCCTCTGTAACCCTTTACACCACCGCTCACGGGATGGGTATGAGGTGCATAATAAAGAAAGAACTGTCGACAGTTTTGATGGCTTTACGGGACCTCAGTACCTCCATGAACCGGTATAGTACTCTGCTTCTAATAGTTTAAGGAAAACCTATGAAAAGAATTACTGTAAATACAAAGACCACTCTGTCACACGAATTCTACATGCAAACGGTTCAACTTATATTACTCTGTAATATTCAAAGTAATTTTCAATGTTAAAATAAAGTGTAAAATATTATTTTAATGACAACTCAAATTTGCTATACGTTACACTATTATACATGTCATTTACAAAACAAACAGGGGGTTTTATTACTAACAATGCCATTAAAATTTTATATCTCGTGTGCATAGAAACTGAAACATCAAATTTAATATCAAACACCCACTTCATGGGGTCTAAGTAAACTAAAGGTGTGATTAAGACCATGTAATCTTGAGTTACTGCTAACAAGAGGTGTACTGGGGTGCACGATAAACTATCCCCCTGCTGGTGGCAACACTCAATTGAGTAAGAAAGCCATACTCACTTTGCGCAAGAACTAGTCACATGGGACACGGGAACGCCACACAGAGCATCTCAGGGTAAACTTATACAAATATCTCGCACTTCTGGGGTGAATAGCCATCTACATAATTGGAAGGTACATACGTTGGTGAGGGGGGTTAAGTCGGGGACAAAAGCAAATTATATATATATATATATATATATATATATATATATATATATATATATATATATATATATATATATATATATATATATATATATATATATATGACACAAAATAAATAAAAAACATAAGTGCCAGAGCTTAAACACGACTAGCTTGATACTTCCGTCTTACTGACACACAAAGGCCAATAAGCACGAGTTTAAAGAGCTATGGCATGTTTAGCACCGAGAACTATATGTACGGGCAGCATAAAACATCCTAGACAGTGTGAATTGTAACTGTCAGAATAGGCTGGGATATCGATATCTATGTCGGGTGGCGGCAGGTAACGGATCTCCCTATGGTGAACATTCCAATTGTAAACTATGTGAACAAGAGCTGGGACATACTCTCCAACACTATATCTGTGATTACCCTGTTAGAAGTACTTCGGAACAAATGGTATGAGGTACTTTGAGCTCTGTAATTACTTCGTATATACACTCAGGAACATTGGAAGATATTCTTGTGTTGCACCCAGATTCTGCTAGTAGGGGCTAATACATCAGCCTTACATTTTTATGTTCTGATTTTTAGTCAGAATTGATTTGTTTTTGTATTGAGGCTAGTATTTTCTGCCCTGATTCCATGTATGACTAACCATCCTGTGAGATGGGAATAATACTGGTAACTTATAGCTAGTTTTTGATCTACAATGTAATCTTTCATATAGAATAAGGTAGCAGCACATTGCTGTGTATACTTAAGCTTGCTAATAATAAAAAAAAAACTTGATACTTGGTGGCAGCAGTGTGGGAGACAGCACTGGTAAGTGCGTGGAACAGCAGTAGCCTTCCGTGCAGTGATAATTGTGCGTTATGTTATTGGCGTAATTAGTTTATTATGTGCTTCCTACCCATTTTGTGACCTAGTTGAGCTTAATTTAGTTTATATGAACCCCATATTCATCCAGTTTGCGATGGCAGAAAGGTTACAGCATAAGCTAGATTCTTGAGCTGAACCGAAATATTTTTTGTTAACTACTGGTAAGCAATTTTTCATGTTGAACTAATAAGTTATAATTTGTATACAGGTTGTAATAAAATTACAAAGACAATAGTCTTATTATGGTATCGCAGTTAATATGCATGGTCATGAGATAAGCAAATAAGTAACTTGTGGCCAGTGCAAACCTACAAGATAATATGAGTTATCATAGGAAATTTGAGATACTAAGGCTAGGATTAGTTTATAAACATGTTTTTATTTTATTTTATTTATGAATACAAGATTTCTTACATCCTTGTAAAGCCACAAGCACGCACAACGTTTCGGGCAGGTACTTAATCTTAATTTTCCCTGGAATACTATACCCGCCAAATCGTTTAACAACCAGCTACCCATTCACTGCTGAGTGAACAGAGGCGTTAAGGATTAACTTAATCAATTAATTAGTTAATTAATCAGTTAAGGATTGGCGCCTAGTCAATCCTCCCTGGCCAGGCTACGAACCCAGGCCAAATCGCTCGCGAAGCACGGGTCTTACCACTGCGTCACGGGAACTGCTAATATACTGTACTTAGAAAGGATTTATGGTAATATATCACCGCAGATTAAATCGTAAGCAATAAGAATCTTGCAGAACTTAATGTAACGACATAGTCCGTAGAAGTAAGCATTCTCGTAGTAGGAAAGATGACAATGGTGACAAACGTGTCTATCACCTATATCTGAATATACTAAGGGAAGGGAATTATCAGGGGAAACGCGCCAAGCTATTACGACTTTCGGATTTGGGATGGGACGGGGGAAAGTAATGGTCCTGTTGGACGGTCGGGGATTGAACACCGACCTGCATGAAGCAAAGCCGTCCAGCCCAAGTGGTTGGACACCTAAGGAAAACCCACAAAGAAACAGCAGCAGCCCAACACTGACGGCATTCGTCAGTCAGCCATGCTGATGTACTAATTAACCCCACACAATACTTGCACAACGGTAACACAAATCCAAAGAGGAGACGCCACTAAAAATCCCACTCAATCTGCATTATCATCGTATATAATAATTCATTATGTCGGGGGACAGGCAGCCATAGTGTATTTATACATGTTAAGGCCCCCCAACTAACTCCTGGGTACCTATTTACTGCTAGGTGAAAAGGGACATTAGGTGATAGAAAATGTGCCCAACCATTTCTGTCTCACCCGGAATACGAACTCGGAATTCATGATTCTGAATCGAGAACGAACCCAACTGTACTACCGGAACCCTCAATTTCCTGGATATCTTATCCCCATCCCTCTTTCCCTCCCATTCTCCCACACTATATTCTTTAATTATCAAAGCTTAAAAAAAAAGTCGTATAAAGGAAAAAAGTAACATGGCAAGTAGTCAATGACGGAACGACAACTAGACAGAGGAATAGAACATCTATCTGTTAATTACAACGGAACACTGATGGATGTTTTCTATTTTAAATTGCATTCTTCATTCTAGTGCTTACTGCCCTTCTGAGTGCCAGTGCTTGGTCTTTCGTCAGCGTGTTTTGGCAGGAGATGAAGTGGAGATGTGGCGGGGGGGAAAGTAGTGGCGAGGGGGGCTGGTGAGGAGTGGAGGGGAGGTGGCGGGGAGAGGAGGGGAGGTGGTGGGGAGAGGAGGGGAAGTGGCGGGGAGGTGGTGGGGAGGTGGCGGGGGAGAGGAGGGGAAGTGGCGGGGAGGTGGTGGGGAGCTGGCGGGGGAACGGGGGGAAGGCTGCCGGCAGCCTCCCGGGCCGCCGTAGCAGACCACACCTGCACACCTCGCCAGTGTTCATGGGAAGCTCGCCTAAGACACTCACTCGCGTTCCTTTATCATGTGTCGAATAATTAGATCTGTTATCTGGATAGTTCTTGTATCGTTATCAGCCTGTTCAGGTTAGTAGATAGCAAAGAAATAATGTTACCAATATTTACTCATGTGTTTTCTAGGAAAAAACGTGTACTTTTTTAAGAGCATTGCTTGATTGTTATCGGAGGATTTCACCATTCTCCACTACGTGCCGGTCACGTACGCGACACTTTCATTGTATAGCGGAATATACACACATTATCCGCATGTCAATCCACTATCTATAAGATCAAAATTATAATGATTTGAAAAAAACTGGTTATCAGGAAGTTGAAACAGTCCGAAGGTGCACATGGGAATTATTAGATGTGGGTCACGTGTTCACTGCTACGTATATATAGTTCGGGTATAGAAGAAAACTATATTGTAAAAGATATAGTGAGACGGTAGATGTGAATAATGGGGAATGAATTGT